TCTTCTTATATAAGAAATCAATTTTCTGTTGACTTTAGTGAAAGCGAATGAAAAAAATGTTAATTTTAATAATTATCTTATTATCTCTGGATTATTATAGATTCAAAGCATATTTAACTGAAAATATGTTGATTTCATTGAATTTCAAATAAAATGATTTAATTTTTGGTTTGCAATGAATATTAAGATTCAAATTCAGAAAGAAATTCATATTTCATAAAATATTTTAAAACTTTTTTATTATTGGCACAAAACTGTATTGTCTGTAGGAATGGGAACACAACTCACATATCAATTGAATTTGTTATAAACGCTCTAAATCTCTATCAAAACAATTTAATTTGGATATAATGTTATCAGTCGTGGATTTATTATAAATCCTATTTTAAAGTATTTATTTCAATGCATACAAACCTCATAAACATATTCAACAGTATATTTCGAAATAATAGTAAAATGTTAGTCGATATGGTATTTAAGACCAAAACTTTTAAATATTTATAAATATTTAAAGAATTGTTTCCAATTAAAGTGAACAAGAATTTTATGGTTTTATAATAAATTTTTATTTATTTATTCAAAAAATGTGAAATTAAGGATTAAAATTAACTAAATATTAAATTTTAATATAATTATTTTCTTAAATATATAATTTAATATTATTTATATTATAAAGACATTGAGAAACACAATGATTTTTTAATATAAAACTTATTTTACAAATTTTTCCGTAATTCTTTCGACACATTAATATTTTCATTTAATTTAATTCAATTAATTATATGTCAAAACAAATGTATAACATTTTTGAATGTGAAAAACGTATTAAACGATAAGTTAAATAAGTTTGAGAGCAGACTTGAATTTTTTATTTGAAAATTACTAATATTTTGTGATATATTTAACGATAGCCTAAATGTTAGTTTTTTAATGAATCAATGAAATGCTGTTTTCAAATTATAATTACTTAAAATAAATAACAAAAAATCAAATATCAATATAATTATTTCACAAATAATAATAATATATAACCGAAAATCATAAGTATTATAAATAATAATAATAATAATAATAATAAGGATTGCTTTCGGTTTGCAAGCATTGCTTACGAGAATAACTTATTCTTTATAAAAAAACAGTTGTTTTAATATTTTAAATATAATTAACAAAAAAACTAATCATCAATTAAAATGAATTATCAATTAATACAAATACTAAGACAATAACAAAATAAGTGGCGTGTAAATTGAAATGACAATTATTTACATACAAAACAAAATTAATATTTTTTCAATTCACTTATTATTACACACAATTCAAATTACTTTCAATGTTTGTGTTGTAATCTTATATTTTTTGACTTTTTATATATTTTCAAATGATTTTCTCTTTGCTTTAAAATTTATTATTAGATAATAATAATAACTCAGAAAATAGATATGAAATATATTTTGCTTTCAGTAAATATGAAGTTTTTTACAATAAATATTATTCATATATCATTCAATTATCGATCAACTATTATAGAGACACATTAAGGTATGAATTTGTATCAGTTTAGAAAACAAACTTTTTATCGGCCTTTCCCTCAAATATAAAACAATTTTTTGGTTTATAATTCACTTGTTTTGCGCAATTTATCTCAAATATGAATTGTAATCATAAATATATTTTATCCTACAAAAAGTTTTCTCTAGTGTTTGTTTCATAGATGAGGAATGAATTTGTTATATAAAATGAGCAAACATTCAATACATTCAACACAATCTGTTGTTTTGATTCATTGAACAAATGTTGGTTTTTATCATAATTTATACATTTTTGTCAAATGATTTCATGCTATGATATACTAAGTTATAGAAGCCTTTTATGTGGAGATAATGTGTTTCATATAATTTATAACAACTTTTATGTTTTTAATTTTTTTAAATTCATTTTTTGTTATTAATAATGAAATATACAATGCAATTGAATCTCTAGTAAAAGGCAAATGAAGGTAACAGTAGTGCCAGTGCTGCTACCGGTGCGATGATTTTATTTATAATATAAAACAAGTCAATCACAACATCTCCTCGAATGTGGCCATCACTTCGCTCTGACGGTTCAAATCGATTTGTTGGGCTCTCTGTGGGCATACCATCACAACAAGTCAGTCAACAAATATATATTCATATAATGCGAGTCAACACTAACCGCTTCCCGCATCCGCCTCTCCTTCTCGCGCTGTCGGAGTCGTTCCCTTTCCGATTGGGACATCGCCTGCGATGGAGAGCCCGATCCGGAGGCGGGCGACGAGTTGGACGACTGGTTTCGCGACATTTCGTCGATCTGTTGCTGTTTCTGATGCTGTTTGCGGGCCTTTTCCAGCGCCTCGTCCTCTTCCTTCTCGCGCTGTCTCTCCTTCTCCTGACGCAGTCTTTCCTTTTCCTCCCTTTCCTGTGTCTTACGGCGCAAGTCTTGTTGTAATTTAAGTTGATTTTGTTTGTCTTGTTTCTCTTTGGCCTGCTTTTTGAAGAGCTCGAAACTATTCTCCGCCTGAACTTTAATGTTAGCGCCGGCGCCTCCCGTTCCCGACGACGCTATACTCGACCATCCGCTCAGACCTTTCGATTTAGCATCAAATGCCTATCAATGCATCAAATGAAAGCATTTGAAATTAATTAAAACATAAATCAAATTAATTATGCGTTCATTACATTAGACTTTTTGTTGGACATCACAGATGGACTTGACTGAGACATAGAGCTCGACGACTTTGAGCCCTCCTTTTTCTCCCCATTAGCCGGTGATCCCGAACTAAACGCATCCAATGATCCAGAATTTGCTACACATTTAAAATTATAAATTCAAACAAATTCAAACAAAACCCAAGAGTTGAGACTTACTTGAATTGAAATCGTGTCTCGAGTTTGACTGTGAATTGTTGGCGGAATAATTGGATTCATCTTTAGCTTTGTGTTGATTCGCATGCAATTGTGTCGGCGCTGGGAATACATGTTTCGTTAGTCCAAATAAATACCACTTTATATGAAGCGCTAACTCTTATGAGTCTCTAATTATAGTCAATACCTGTGGACGTGAATGGAGGTGTGAAATGGGATGCATTGACTTTGGGTGAGTCGCGGACAGCGTTTGATTGGTTTGAATCTGAGTTGGAATTCAATGGCACCGGAGCTGAAAAGTCAACACATTTTGTTAGAATTACTTTTGTTTTATATAAACGGTTGGCGTATATAATCCAACGGAAACTAACGATTCTTATGCGTTGGTTGTGGTGTGAGCTGAGGGCCCCCCGGAGCCGAGAGTATGTTCTTTCTAGTGGGGGCTGCGGTGGCCGTCGCAGTGGGCCGTTGGGGCTGTTGAGGAAGGCTTGAGTGCGAGGCCACGACTGGAGGTTTTGCTACGATGAGGGATGCGGCCGACAAAAGCCATATGGTTTAGATGTGACTACATTTGGTGCTAACTATGGTTGTGTTTACCTATAGTGGAGGCGCCGCCCGCAATACTGGGACCGCTCGGCATAGGCAGCGGATGATTGAAAGACTGGTTTCCAAACATCTGATTTTGTGGCACTTGTGGTCCGAGGGTAGCGCTCAGCGACTGGTTATAGGACTGAGTAATGGGAAGAGTGCCGGGAAATGTAGGCGTGTGTTGAGAGTGCGGGGCAGCGAACTGTCCCATCGGTTTGTTTGTGTTGGCCTTCTTTTTTGGAGACTCTGTGATCGGTATCGTATAGTTTGCAATGAATATACAGACAACATATAAACTCATTGATTTCAACAGTCATTATGATAAAGACAACTACAAGTACTAAATGAATCCAAACATTAGTCTAAGAATCGGTACTAAAAAGAGCGAAAAACCTCTGAGTTTGTGTCCGGAGAGTGCAGTATATTCTGAGAGATAATAAAACAATAAATAAACAAATTTCCGAAAAACTTTTCAAATTTATTTTCTATAGCAAATTCGGTCAACACTTAATAGTGAAAAATTAAGTATTTGTATTCATTTGATAAAATCCTTTTATAAAATACAATAAAAGTTTTTTGGGCACACAATCAGTAAAATGTGAAAAATGTTTTTTAATGACAAATCAATAGTTTTAATGGTTTGGCCGCCAAATGAGAGGCCAAGTAATGAAAAATAAAAACAACGATTACTTGCATTACACGTCAAATAAGTGATAATATAATAGATTTTTAATATAAGAAAATTTGCATTTAATGAACTAATATTTACAAATGAGTCAATTGTGATGAGATTTTTAATGACAATCAGGTAGTGGGTGAGCCCTACACAGGAGGCGCCCGTTTACTCACTGCCCCATAACATGATTTCTGCATTTTTTACATTTTGTTTTCTTGTTATAAAGAAAGTTATAAAATAAATATATAAATTAAAAAATGATAAACGAAATCAGTTGTTTGTTTATACCATTAAATCAATTTATACGAAAAAAATATTTATAAATTAATAACTATTGGAGACAAGGCTTGACTAAATTAAATGAAAAAAAAGTCTTTTAAATAGTTTACACTTCAGCCCAAGAGTGCTCATGTCCTAAGAGGCGGTTCACTAACGCTAACAAACTTATAACTCAATTCAAAATTAATTTGTGATCTAATTATAAATACATTCATTCATAGAGTTTCTGTCAATTCAAATGAGACAACTAATTGAGAAATAAATTTACATTGCGTTTAACGCGCGTCTAATGTTTAGATTACCATACAGTACATGCACTCTCTCTCACATTAAATTGTATTTAGATTTCATAAATAACTTATAATTAAATAGTGATCGAAATGAAAATTCTCGACAAAAACAGAAAAGATTTAATGAAAAAAATGAACGAAACATTTGGAATGAAACGACTTTTAGTCTGAAAATAGTAATCAATGGTCGCAATGGTAGTGATTGAAATTAATTGAGAATTTACTTAAATATTTTAATTGAGTTATAGGGCAGTAATTGAATGATGCATTTTAGATACAGTAAAATATATACAAAATTAGTTGGCATTAATTGCCATTACTTTTCCTATGCATATGATAGCAAATATACAAATGAGACGAACGGGTGGTTTGTAAGACAAGTCTCGGACAAAGACAGTGATAACTACCGACCCCTCAGAACACTGCACTCTCGAACGAACGACAATTGGTTTTATATTAACATTAATTGAGAATATTGTTTGTGTTATTGGTTTGTGTCTCTCAATTAGAGACTGCTTACAAAAAAAAGGCGATTTTTGTGTTTCAAAATCAATGACTGATTAATGGCTTATTATTTACATTTGTATAAAAACGGGAAACAGAGAGTGTTTTTGTCCTAACATTCATTGTTTGTATGTTATATTAGTAGAAAAGGCTTGTTTGAGATGTTTTCAATGATAGATTTTGCAGTGACTGTCAGACAGTCGTGAGATGTTTTGTAATGTATTGTGAGGTAGAAAACAAAACTAAAGGATAACTATTTTAAATAATAAATCAAAAGACAACAAATCAATTATAAATCATTTTTGCCTCAAAATATGTGTTCAAATGTTAATGACATGTATTGAGAGTTTGTTTTTATCCATTAATACGAAGCAATCATTGAGTTAATGGTCTTAAATGTTGTGACGTTTTGTTTTGGTTATCAAATGAGTGATTGAGTGATGAGTCAAAGGGATGTCATTCATCATCATATTCCTAACCTGATTCAGAGTCGCTGCTATCTGAAGAACTACTCGAACTGGAACTACTGCTACTGTCGCTGTCGCTCGAACTGGAACTGCTGGCACTGAGCCGAGTGGTGGGCCCGACGTCCGCCGCGTGCGAGTTCTCTGAATCTGTGAAAGCATAGGGATCTGTATTTCAATAAATTTGCAAAACTCTTATCGCATTTTCCACATCATCTCCATTTCCATGCATGTCATCTCATCTAACCTTTTTTGGGCGCCTTTTTGTTGGTCGCTTCCAACTGTCCGCTCACGTCCTGTAGCCTCTTCTCGAGCTCCAGTTTCTTCTTTTCCGTTTCCTCCCGAGTCTTGGCATTGGCAGCGGCTGCTGCTGCGGCGGCCGCCTGTTTGTTCTTAGTGTCTGTGGGGTGGCAATGGGACAGACATTCATCAGTTACACCATTCAATGCACTTCATGTCACTCGAGGCACACTTACTGTAAGGCTTTCTGGGTTTCTTCCGCAGACACGTCGCCACATAACTCTCCAACTCTCGCAGTGTTGACGGCTTTAATGTCTCGAAATCTATTTCTATTTCATCAGGATTTGAGTCCCGAAGAGATGGCTCTCGAGATTGGATAATATGAACAACTTTTCCTAATTTATCACCTTTTGGTGCAAATATAACAAAACAATAGTTAGCAAGCAATAAGCCAATAGAGAGTATGACATGAAATACCCGGCAATTTATTGATGTCAAGACTGAGTTGGCGTTTCTCGTCGTAAGACATGGGTTTGGCGTTGTCTTCATCTTCGCTGTCGAACACAGGCATGACTTTTGCATTCTTTTTGTTTGCTTTACTATTAGTTCTCTGTCTCTTCGCGGGCGCGTTGGCCGCCGCACTCGACGCAGACTTACTCTGAGAGTTCTGGGCTTTGGTTGAGGCGCCGGACATGGCTTTACTGGCCTTCGACACCTTACCTGTTGGTATAGTGGTGTTAATTTCATGGTTTGGCGCGACATTAGCAGAAGAGCCGGCATTTGAACCCGAATTACCGATAAGTGATATATTGCTGGCGGCCATTAGGCCCGACGCCGTGCCGTCCACTAAGTCTTCCTTCTCTTTCTTGATGTCGGACTTGGAGTCCTCCTTCTCCTTCTTGGATGTGCTTCGCGTTCGCCTACTCTTCTTCTTTTTGCCCTTCTTTTTGGCCCCTTCTTGGGCTAAGATACTGATCTGTTCCGTCACTTTCTTCACCTGTTCCTCCAATAACTTAATCTTCTTCTCGCGCTCGTCTTCGCTGTCGCTCTCACTGCTCGATGAGGTGGGCGTTGACGAGCCGCTCGAACTGCTGCCACTGCTGTCCGATTTGCCGGTGAGGGAGGCGTCGCCGTGCGGGGGCTCGTCGGGCATCTTCGCGTACCGCATCTCAAACACATCCTGTAATACATATAAACATATGGTTTATGATATGTCGCGAGAGCATGAAACAGACCACTCATTCAATATAAGAGACTGCGATAAATAAAGCGTTACTATTCCTCAACTGATTGATTAGAAATGCATTAATGGTTTGAATGCATTCCTGCCCAGTAGAGGGTCTGATCACAAAAATATTGAGACAATTAACGCCTAAAATACCTGTAATTTCCTGGCCATCGCTACCACTTCATGATCCGGAGGATTATATTTGTAACAATTGGTAAATATTAACCGTACGTCCGTTGCAAACTCATCGGGTTTCCGGTACTCCCTATTGTCCATCTTTGTCTAAATATCGCAAACAAATTATAAATAAAACTCAATCCAAGCAAACCCTGTGTTTTGAAGCAAACCTTAGCGGTTCCCAAATCCATTGGACTCCTAATGATCTCGTGATAGTCATGGAGTTGGAGGAGATCAGCGTCGACGGGCTTATAGAAAGGCCAGGCATAGCCGGCGTGCTTTTTGGCCAACAACTCCTTGATGATCGTCGAGCAGTACTTCATCTGTTCCGTCATCTTTCCCTTCTTAGGCTTCGAGACGTGTTGTGCGGTGTCCGGCAAGTCCTTCGACGGCTTCTTAATGGGTCGGCCGCTCTCTCGTCGCGTAGACATCTTCGACGGCTTCGAGGACTCATTGGTGGGCGACGTGTAGACAGAGATACCCGAGTCTAAGAGCGTGGTTGTGTCGGCTTTCCGTTTGACGCCTTTCTTGGGCTTCGAAACGGATGGACCACTGCTTCGGAACGAACTGTTCTGAAGAGATGCGTTCGTATGGGGCATGGATTGAGGAACGGTAGTCGTGGTAGGCGTGGATGACATGCACGCCATGCCGTCGGCGAACCCTCTCTGGAGCGCAGGCGTGTGGGCACCGGCTGTAAGCGGCGAAGAGGTTGTGTTAGAGATGGCAGATATGGGCGTTATTTTGCTGATTGGAGTCGTATTAATGGGTGCACTGGTATGCAATGGGACGGACACTGAACCTGAATTAGTTGTCACACTAGACGGCAGGTCTACGGCCGGTAGGGCGGCACCACCGCTGAGCAGCGGTTTGGGCGCCCCCACAGAGTTCTGCAGAACAGATGAAACACTAGATGCCGGTGCCAGTGATGACAGGCTCGGCGCTGGCGGTTGTGACGGCGCTCCCAATTGGGTCGCTATTGCGTTGCTTCGCGTCGTCGCTTGGAATGAAGCGGCGCCTACAGGTGGTGGTCGTAGTGGTGTGGGTCAGGGGAACGGGAGGTATGGATTAAATACAATTCGTGTCAATTATACAGTAAATCAATGAGAAATCAGTTATCAATTGAAGTCTGATTTAAATGACAACCGAATCGAGATTACTATCGGAAGGCATTCACTGAATGTGCGGACAATGAATGCAATCAATGGCTAAACGCATGCTTTGTTTGTATGCCTAACAGTTGGGCATTGGTTTGCAATGCATTCAAATGAGTCGTACTATTAGTCGACACTAAGTAGTAATCGCTATTCAAATGCTATGCAATCCAATGAGTCAATGAGTGTATGATTTGTACGATTAGTGTACAGTATATTAATAAACGTATAAATGAATGAAAAAAGTGAGTGACAGGTGCTCTCACCTCTACCTCTTGGGCCTCCTTTGCCTTTGCCTTTCTTGCCTTTGGGACCCTTGACGAGAGGCATCGGCACATCGATCTCCTCCTCGGGCATGTCCTGCACTTTGGAGAGAAACATCTTCTCGAGAGTCTGTGCCATTAGGACGACATCCTCTCCCGGCTTATTATACACATAACAGTTCGTAAACATTGTCTTAAAGTCCGCGATGGCCTCGGAGGCCGTATAGTAGTAACAGTTCTCGAGCCGCTTCTTAATGGTTCCCAAATCCATGGGCTGTCGTATGATCTTATGATAGTCGGGGAGTTTGAGTTTGACTGAGTCGACAGGTGTGGTGAAAGGCCAGGCGAACGTGTGCTTCCACAACGACTTGATCACCACTTTCAGGAGGAACTGGAGCTGATTCGTGTTGCGCCGCTGCTTCCCGGGCGCCGGCGTCACCGGCGGCTGCACCACACCGTTCACCGGCTCCAACCCCTCCGACTCGGCGTCGCCGCCCGACTTCGTCGCGACGGCCGCCGAAGCGGCCGACGACGACATCATCTGCGCGGCCGTCGCGCCAGACATCGCACTACTGTTGGCCTCCTTTTGCTGGGGATTATAGTTAGCGTTGTTTTGGTGTTGAGTTGCGATCGCTGGAAGTGTTGGAAGTGTTGACGAATTGAGTGCTATATTAGGCGCCGACGCGAACCCTCGCACTATGTTCTGAGCGCTTGCCTCCTGTGGTCCGCCCATCCTATCACACGGTCATCGGTGGACAGACACGGGTTAGTCACCCTCATGAGCACTACTACAACAAGCACTGTAAGCACAGTTATCTCATACCCGGCCTCCATTGAAGCGAATCGATAGGATTTCTATGGATTTAAGCCCACAATCGCTGATCCCATACATTAACCGCCGATTGTGTCACACATTCAACAGAGTTCTGCAAAAGACAAACACAACGATCAGTACATACAGTGAATGAACACATGGTGTATGGCATGTATGGCATCAAATCAACTGCCATCACATGGTTGCTGTCCATAGGAGCCAACTGTCATCACCTCATGCCATGTGACACAACACAAGTCAATGTGCTTTACCGGCGCTCTCAGTGTGTCATTCAAACTAAATATAACCAAATGAGTGGCAAATTGGGTGCAAATGGTTGTCAAAAGTGTAAATACAGTGAAAGGGGAGGCTATGGGAGGGAAAGGGCACTGAAAACCACATGTAAAATGAGTGCCAAAGCACTGGCATTCATGTGTTGGCGCGATAACCAGCGCCAGTGCCCTCTAGTGGCTCACTGGGGGTAACACTAACGCTATGCCTATGGAGGCCTATGCTATGCTATACTGTGCAATGAAATGATGATTGCATTCAAAGCCGTTTGCATTGCGTTTGAAATTGAAAATTAAATTCAAAAATTGCATTCAAAACATGTTTTCTTTTAATTCAATACAATTAAGGCATAATTGAGTACAAAATGGTAGTGTGAGCGCACCGGTAGTACATACAGCGTATCTACTCATAGCGTTCATATAGGCATTCATATCGCGATTCACTGAATCGGCAATCAATGGTCAGGTGGTCAGAGACTGTGGCCCTACAGGTGCTACGGATAGCTCATTGCCTATTGGCTAACACACGGCTACTGTCTAACCGAGTAGTGACTCACTGCTGAGGAATAGGTTATCAGAGATATAGACATAACAGTTAAGAGATATCATAGTATATCAAGATATGGCTATTCAATGATCAATGAATCTTATGGTTAGCTTTACTAGTGATGTGGTCAATGGTGGACAGGTGTTGATGGCAATGGCAGTGGTGGTGGTGACGGTCAGTGGATCCCATGGACAGAGCTCGCAATGGCTGGCCTTGAAGTGTGAGTCACACTAATCACCACAAGTGATCAACTGATGGCGAATACAGTCCTCATGAGTATATAAATGGTGTTAACCTGCAATCAGTGGCATAAAGGGCTCTCAATGTACTGACTGTACGGACTGTACGGCTGCACACATTATATTTGGTCAACAAATATAGTCATCACTACTATTCATACGTATAGTAATGGCTCGCAATTCACAGCAAACACACAATAAGTGCTATGAATGCTATGCTGTACGAGTGCTGAAGCCTATGCTATGCCTGTGTGTGCCATACATACAGTCAGTGTCTGTCTATCGCTGTCTATAGCCGTCTATTGGCTCCACAAACCCAACACAACATGGAGTGCAGTGCCGCTCAACACAGTGTGCTAACACTCACCACAACAGCTCACACGCTATACTAAGCCCCCATTGGTCGACGCACTGCACGTGACCCACACTCACACGACTACACGCCAGGCAATGGTGACCAGCGAGTGGTCAGCGCCCGTCCCAGTGGTCAGTGGGGGCGCCCACCGGACACTCGCACAGCACACATACGCCACCCAATGAGCGTTGGCCTCGCGATCGGCGCTTATGTGGCGTTCGCTGTCTTCCTGTCCACCACTCGTCCCACAGTCTGCCAAATGTGTTGTCTGTGGGGCGTCACCACCACAGAGTGAACAGCCGTGAACACAACCACTCCATACACACACGACAACTCGCACTCCTATTGGCTCGCAAGCCGTTCACAAGCATTCAAATCATGTGACCATTTGGTGGTCGTTGCGATGCCCTCCACGCCGCCAATGACCGCACCATTCAGTCACCACTCGGTGGACACGACTACTGCAACACTAGAGACCCTTTCATCGCTTGTCGCCCAAAGGGTCCCAACTTTTTTCGCTCCCTTTCTGTCCAATAATTACGAGTAGTTTACGACAACTTTACGACAACTTTTGATTGCGATTTGCAAACAATTGTTGCAATCAAACCAGTATTTTATACGTCGATTGCATTCACAAAAATAGGTTCAAATAAAAAGTGACGAAATATGTACTCAAAAAACAATACTTTTATTATTGAAACTCGTATTCCCTATGATTGCTATTCATAATGAATTAAATGTCACACAAATCAGGCCTTAAATTAAGTTTTAAATACATATAAAAAATATGCGAAGACTTAGGAAAGAGTTGAATAGTTTGCGTGTGAAAATCTCGTTTATAGGGGACTTTACTCTGTGTTTTACGTCAGTGTTAATTTCGTACTAAACTTACTGTCCAAGCGGTGTTTTGAATGCCGTTAAAGTAAGCGTACTTATAGGTCCAGCACTAGAATGAGACGATTATTAGTATGAATCCGATGGCTATTAAGAGGATTCGGTTGAGTTTGGGTGTGACGGGAGAGTGAGTGTTGTCTAAGATAACGAATCCGAGTCCGCCTAACGTGAACAGTAGGCTCGACGCCAAGCCCTCCATAATGTACTGTCCGTTCACTCTGTAAGGCATGAACGCCACGGGCCTCGAGTGGCCGGACTCGTCAACCGTCGACCCAATGGACGGCGGCTCTACTATCACGTCATATATGATGCCTGCAAATGGTGCACACAATTAGCCATCACTTGCACTACCGGTGCTAATCATCTACTCTATTATCATGCAATCACTGCCATAATAGGCTACGAAACTGATGACAATATGGGCTCTACGCTCATGACTGCCAATGCGATGGCAATGATTGCGATGATAGCGAAGACATACCTCCGCAGACGAGAAAGTACGAGACCAACACAAACGAGTAGACCACCATTGGTGATGGCTGTTTGAACCATCCAGGTCTCTTCAGCTTTATGTTGGGCACCTCTAGCACAGCGAATGGCAGGCCATACAGCGATTCCAGAACTGATCCCATGTCCAGACAATTGGTAAGACAATTATTTTCGGCTGTTTAACAACTAACTGACGGTTTAGTGACTGTTGACCCTCAGTGTACATTAACTCTCAGTGAGCATTTGAGATACTGTGAACGTAAGTGAAATATAAATGAAATTAATGTAAATTAATAATAATTATTAATTTATATTGATTTGTAATGATATTGGTGATAAAATCAACTTTAATTTGTATAAATAATGCTTTAATTGAGTTAAATATGTATTACGTAAATATAGCTTGATGCAATATCTAAGCATAACGTTGTCTATGACTTGTGTTGAGATTTTAAAACCAAAACAAATTGTGAAATGTTTTGAAAAATAATTCAAAAGTTGAGTCAATAGTAAATATGTGATTAAATCGTGATTTACATTGAATTCAGTGCTAATAAAAGGCAATAATCATTAGTAATGTATCATATATTATGTAATCGCGTGAGAAATAGTGTGCGGATTAGTGTCACCACAAGTAGTCGTGTCTTAAGTGGTCTGAAGTCGGAATTGGATCCAAACGTCTTCGCTTAGGTTGCTGACTTCGCAAACAAACGCAAGTCAGACAAACCGTAGTGAAATTGGTGACGAGACAACCACTTCTTGATATTCTCTTCTGTTACCAAACTTAACTACCGGTTTTGCTTTGCTATACAAGTATTGCATCAATGATGGCATCGTGTGATCAATGGATTCATTTGTAATCTCTTTGTATCTGAAAATAGGGCCAAAAGTTCGGTGACTTAGAGTTGTATGAAATGAATGGTCAAGTGATGGCATTACAAGTATTGCATCAATGATGGCATCGTGTGATCAATGGATTCATTTGTAATCTCTTTGTATCTGAAAATAGGGCCAAAAGTTCGGTGACTTAGAGTTGTATGAAATGAATGGTCAAGTGATGGCTGAACCGGTCATCAAGTGTTGGAATGCCATCCAATCGTTTGCCTTCAGAGATGATGACCTACTGGTGACAGCTTTCCCGAAGTCGGGCATAACATGGCTTCAAGAGATCGTATGGTTGATCGCCAACGACCTCGACTTCAGTGGCGCTCAGATGCAGTCAATTAGCGATCGGTTCCCGTACTTGGAGTTCCCGACGCCTGGAATCAAAACCATTGGACGACTGAAGAGTCCGCGTCTCATAAAAACTCATTTAATGCCGACTTTGCTCTTCGATGACAAACACGAGGACAACAGTGATTGCATTCATTGCAAGAAAACGGTGCCAAAGATGGTCACAATCTTCAGGTACTGTTTGTGTAAATGTTTTGTTTAATGAAATATAAAATGTATTTATTTTTTGTGCATTTGTTTTGACAGAAACCCCAAAGACTTAATCGTTTCTTACTATCATTTTTGTCGATCACAATCTTCAGGTACTGTTTGTGTAAATGTTTTGTTTAATGAAATATAAAATGTATTTATTTTTTGTGCATTTGTTTTGACAGAAACCCCAAAGACTTAATCGTTTCTTACTATCATTTTTGTCGTATGAATAAAATGATTGGATATAAAGAAGACTTTAACCACTTCTTCGAGTGCTTTATGAAAGGCTCTCTGCCTTACGGCCCCTTTTGGAGCCATTATTTGGATGTTTTGCAGTGGAATGACAGCCATTCGGAAGACCACAAGATTTTAGTCATTCATTTTGAGGATCTGAAGAGAGATTTTACGAATCAAATCAACAGAATCTGTGATTTTATGGGAAAACAAAAGCCCAGTGAAGAGGATATGAAAGCACTTGAATTTCACTGCAGTTTCGATCAAATGAAATATAATCCGTCCGTTAATTACAAATATTGGGATGACTTAGGGTTTAGGGATCGAAGCGAAGCGGAATTCATGCGAAGGGGACAGATAGGGGACTGGAAGCACTACCTGTCCCCCGAACAAAATGCAATCGTTGATCAAACAATTAGTGATAAATTGCAAAATAAAATAATATTTATTTACGAATAAAATGTTTGACAAAATGCAATAGGAAATAATTTATTATCTAGTTCATCTTACAAGTTAGTACATTTACAATTAATATCAGATGTGTAAATATAGTACCCGTATAAAATAATAAAATATAAACCATAATCAGTTTGTTTGAATTACATTTAAATTGTAATTTGTATGAAATTCTTCAGTTAAGTGACTTAAATGAAGTTATTTTGCGTGACATGTGTGCAATAGAGCCGGGATTTTGTACCTAAATTCTGGGCCCAAATTTACTTATGATTATTTTATGCATGCAATACAAAGTCAAATGATCAATGATCTGGGAATTATCGAAAGTGGCACAATAGTCAATTATCAACAATTTTTGTTTACACTAAACCGGTTAATATTACTATTGCACCGTTGATTGAAATTTAAGATATGTAGTATTTCATCCAAAATGATAAGTTATGCCACAATTTCCATACCTCTTCAGATGCAACGAATATTTACAAGTATTTTGTGCCATCAGTTTAAGCCTCTTGTTTCTGCGATTCTCGTAATCTATCAATACTTTGAGGATTGGAGTAATAGGTCTCCAGAAAAGTGATTGCTTTCTCCATTTTGGTTAATCTTTGGTTAAGTGCAGCCAATTTAGATTTGCACGACTTGTCTGCAATACAATTATTGCAATTATAATTCACTTATCAATCAAAAATACCACAATTTAAGACAAAATAAACTCATGTATTCTTACAGAATCTGTACAGATTATGAAGCAATCATCAACATGTATGATAGGAATTACATAAGAATGTATTGCAAATACTAACCGAAATTATTCAAGAATTCTGTAATTTTTTGGATTCCAGTGGTCACGGCCTCAATGAACTGCCGGTTAGTCCAGTCGTCGCCCATTAAGCTCTTCATGGAGTCATCACTGGTTTCAGGAGAGAGTTCTGTCAACGAATCCGCACTCGAAAGAGACAATTGGCTCTTATTCTTAATAATACTCATTTGATTCTTGAGACTCATTTTTATTTCAATTACAATTAATTAATAACTTATGGTTTGAATTATTCCAATACAAAAAATAAATGCATACTTTATAGGAATTTTAGTCAATACCTAGAAATGCTGCTAAAATTATACATGAGTTGCATTTGACAGGAAATCCTAAAACTTATTTCCTATTGCAAGCAAATTACCCAAAAAGGAACCAAAATTCTTAGAAGCAATAAATAAATCGATAAATTTACAAATAAATAAAACTTTATTAAACACAAAACGTTTATTAAATATTATATAAAAAATGTTACATAACTTAAAAATAATACAATGATTTTTGATGTTATCATTTGTGCGTTTGTTTAACAACTAATCGCCGCTAAATTGACTTAATGTGATGTTATTGTTATTGGAAATGCATTTCTTAATACAACACTCGACCGCTTCTTTGATATCCTCGAAAACTGGAAGACCCACTCTTGTGGTCATGTCTGACAGATAGGCGCGGCCTCTGTTATAGTCTTTTATTGCAGTTGCCGTCAACTGTAAGCATAGCATTCATTCGGTTAATACCATACATATCACTAGAAATGCAAATATTGGACTCACTTTCTCATCGTTGATAACACACTCGGCTTCTAAGTTTTGAATACAAAGAACAACATTACATCCCAGTCCCACATAATAAGCAGCCTTTATATGAAAATAAATAAATATTAGTTTTCTTTACACTCGACTTTAGTTTCAAATATCAAACACTAACCAAAATCATAGCAGACAGGGCTCGGGTAGAGTTGGATATCGTGAACAATAAAACCCGACTCCTTTCAATAGCTGCCGCTTCTATAGGGATGATCCGCTCCCCACTCCAGGCATTACTTTGAGATGAAAAATAAGTTAAACCATGTTTTCTGTTAACCAAAAAAATCACAAAAAATTAGTTTCAAAATTGAAACAATTGGACTAAAATAGCGAATAAATCAATACTGACTTAAGTAAAGGAACGGCGATGTCTTCTCTCCAAGTGTTTGGATAAGTATCGCCGCCTAAGTAGATGTCGCGGTATTGATGATCATATGGAATATGCTGTGGACTGGGAGGACAGTTCAGTGCGTTTCTCACGGGTTTCAAAAGCCAATTGAAGAGTCTCTGAATGGGGTCGACTAAAAACACCAACTTCTTAGTCAACAGTTGAGCCAACTTTTCATTCGCTGTGATTTGAGATTTAAATTCAGTGACAATACAGCAGAACTCCTCGAAGTTGATGGTAATGTCGTCCAAATTAATTGTCTTATACTCGGCATCGCACTCAATGCCGTCAATGCCGTAGCGTCCGATGGCTATCTGTCGCAAGTTATTGTTCGTCAACTCACGGCCCGTTACCATACGGAAGGCCAGCCGCAGATCAGTTAAACTGATTTCGCCGGTGTTGTCGTTGTCGAGCGAATCAAACACTTCCCGCAAACGAATCAATTTGTCGCCCAATTGGATGTGAGCCATGCGGACGGGCATCGCGTTGTCCTCGCGGGACAGGTCTTGCGGACGGATACCTTCGCGCAGAATCCGGTTGACACAGGCGAGCGCCACCGGCAACTGGTCGAAGATCGGGATCCCCTGCCGTTCCACTAAGTCCTGGAGGTATGACTGGCTTTGTTGCAGGTCTTTATACTCCCTATCATTATAATGGATAGCATTTAATTGGAGTTCAATTGTGGCACAAATGCCGGTACAGTATATATAGGAAAATTGTAGTTTACTTTTCAGAGATGGCCTCCCCGTTCATGAAAGCTCCGGGTCCTGCCGTTTCAGTGAATACTAGAATTAAGTTGCGTTGAGAGCCGCATATGAAGGCCGACTCAATCATCGATACGATAGCCCGGGTCTGGTTATCGATCACAAAGAATAATACGTCCGCATTCTGTATGGGTTTGCAAATCATGTATCAATACCTTCACTCGTATACCGTATGTCTAGCATTCATATCAAAGACTACTAACCTGTTTGGCACTCCACTCCAACTCTATGAGCTCTGGTCTCCAAATGGCCACTTGCTATGGGTTTAAGGCATTCATACATTTAATATTCACTGGTAAATGGACTACTTGTTCAAAGTAATGGTAATATTAATTACCGGATTATAGTAAGTAATGCCTAAACTCTTAAGAATAGGTATAGCGATGTCTGTCCTCCAAGTCGTTGGATTACAAGAACCGCCCAAAAAGACTAACAGAATATTTAGAGAGAGAATAGTATAGGAATGAGAAAAGCTGTGGAATTTCATACAAGAATCGGTGTATAAGAAAAGGGATGAATAGATACCTTCAAACTTGGAGTCCATGGGTTTGATGGCCAGCGATGACTGGTTGTGCTGTGAGTGGAGAGTGACTTTCCTGTGCTCCGGGATATCACATTTGGAGAGTGGCGTCGGGTGACAGGTGTTCTCCTCGTAGTTGGTCGCGAGTTCAGAGGCGTAAACACAGAATTCACCGAAAGTTAAGTAATCGCCGTTTTTTCGTCGCGAACAGTCATTAGCGCAGTGTATCATCTCATGGATTTGGGAACGGGAGGGATAGACATCCATGTCGTGAAACACGTACGGCAGTGAACGGACCAGTTGTTTGTGTGGCAGCTCTGCCCTATCATTCCAGACTTTGAACAGTTTCCTGAGTTTCAGAAACAATGGTACGATTAATACTATGTCCACAGACACCAGTGACAGACACCACACGAGGGTCCGCATCCACGACCCATACCTCGTCAGCGAGCCGTAGATGGAGGGCGACAGTGACATGACTTATGGGCTGCCCTGACCAGGGTGAGTGCGGTGATCGGGGTGATTGGCGTCAATGACTGACCACTGATGACCACAACTAGTGAATGCCTTCAAATGGAGACAACTTTTTGTTAGCAAAACTTTTGCAAAACTGATTGTCCGATTGAGTGTCAATGGGAGTGATGGCAATAATACTAATGTATTATTAGTTGTAATAATAATAATAATGTTTTTAAAGGCAAATGCTTTATGAGTAAGGTTTATGAGACTTATAGTCAACACAACAAACGGTGCAAATGAAGTGCCAAAGCCTTAAACAAATTGTATATAAATATAAATGTTTGACATATTTATCACTTTTTATACATCAATAATCACTAAGCGATCAATGAATGCAAATAAAACTTTTTTTATGTTAACAACTCTGATAGACAAGGGATTTCTTGTATGAATAGTAATAATCTTTGATGAAATCAAAAACATCAGGTGTTTGTGGACAGGGATTGCAAATAGGTTTTGACAAATATGTGCACATTTGATAAGTTAGTGTTAGTCTAGATATGTTGCAATTGAATGGCTTTACTGTTAGCTACACTCACTCATGGAGTGAATGGCAATGCATTGCACACACATTGAGAGACTGAGGGATTGATGAGCGTTTCAAAAGTGATGTGAATATGAAATAAACAAATGATGCGATTGTTTGCCACATCTCTATCGATACGCTAATAGCTATACAAACTAACAACTAATCAAAAACTAATCGTTTGTCTCAACACTACTGTTATTATAAGTTGCGGTTTGAAAATGCGAGTGACGTTTGAATAGATATGACTTTCACACCAATTGCTAAACAATGCGTCGATTGCCATACAATTGGGTTACGAAACCCAAACAGAGTACACAATACTACACATACAGACAATACACACACATGTATAGCATGTATAGTGAATGCACTTATACTTTGACCCGAACTGTACTTACATTTATTGTCTAACATATTGTATGTGACTATCAATGAAACCAATCATTAATAAGCCGTTAATTACTGGAAACACACTCTCGATTGTAATAATAATATAATGGTTACTAATACTGCACCAAAACTTGCATTAATAATAATACTCATAGACTCATAGAAAAGGTAATAATACTCATAGACTCTACGCATTTGGCATGAAATGCAAACACAACACCAAATATACTGTACTTTTTCAACGCAATCATTGCATACACTATACGACTGTCACTGACGTCATGTGAGCCCTGCATCCCATCTCTTACCCAATATGTGCTCATATATTGCCAGTCAATACAGTCTACTCTCCCAACACTCGCATCGCCTACCATATAGTGTACTTCCCTTACAATCCACTCGTAATCCCATTGAGTGTCAAGAAACAGATAATGCATGCATTCAATGGCATAGTATTGTGTTTCGCTACACACTTATCGTACATTAATTGCAATGATTTATGGATTAAATATCATATAAAGTGTATATAAAGAGTACTTTTAGGATATTCTTGTGCTCCGGAATACGTCATCCTATACTAGATTCTGGTGTCAATTCGTGACTAACCTCTCATAGCTTATGGTGTTTACCACAACCCATACAAACCTATTGATAAAACTGCACTACTTTTCTGTTTGACACTTTTTTCTAATGCATATCTGTTTATTGTTATAGTTATGGATATGAGCGATAATTCTGTGTACCAATAGTTTCTATATTAACCACATATTGTACATAACTATCTATTAGTTACTAAATATGCGATTAATAATCAATTGCAAACTGTTGTCAACTCAATTGCATGAACTGTACTGATATGCCCTTCCGATGTAGTTTTAGTACATAATGACCAAAAGTCCTTACATTAAATGCAACAATTATGCATGCATTTCAAAGTGTATTGAGTTTATTATGACACTTCATCTGTGATTTCCAAACGATCCTTAGTTTGCAACAAAAATCCTCCACTTTTTTCCCATTCACACGTTTTTGCCGTAATTTCCCGAAACAAACAGAAAACACTAATTGCTTCTCGAAAATACTCGTCAAACATAACTTTTTTCGCAATGTTTTATTTGTTTCTAAGAATATTACATAATATAACGCGAGTGCGAGGGAAATATTGATGCTATAAATTGTGATTTGAAGGACAGGCATATGTACCCTAAAAAAGCGCAAATAGTTTCGAGAGAGAGACCGAAGATTCCGGGATCTTAAGTGTTATCACAAAAACACTCAATACTACAGTAAAAGCAATATTCTGTCAAAATTCCTGTCATTTGTTTCGAGAATTTCATGTCAAACGAATTGGCCATTCATTGGGAAATAACATGATTTTGTTGTAAAAACATTTTATATCCTCTTTTTTGCGGACTCCTGTCAATAAAAGTTTAATTTATGTGTTTTAAAACTATTGAAGTGTGTGTAAACGTACTTAACTTTGCACTAAAGCTATTTAATTTAGTAACAACTGATGGATTAGTTTATCAATAGTTTGTTAATAGTTTGAATGTATTATTTCAAATAATTTGTATGTTATCATTACGGGTACCGATTTGTCAAATTTTTGACGATTTTGATATGTTTGTTATAATGCACATGCGATTAATAAACTTGAATTGCGATTATTCTATCAAAAAAGTATTCAATAGAAAAACAATACAATAAAATTAGAGTTATTTGAGTTTAATACTCATGTGATGCTGGGTATAATTATACCTGTCAAATTCTGATAAATTTTTTGAATTTTAATTGTTTTAATGTTATAATTATTTTATTCGTACTAAATTATGTTTAAAAATAGCATACACTGACTGAGCTGGAGTAAAGTGATGCAAATATAATTGTAAAATTTAATAGTAATTGTAAAAATAATTATTACAAATTTATAATGGTAATTGTAAAAATTGATAGTATTTATAAAAAAAAGTATAAGTCTAATTTTAATATCTAGATTCTTTTATGAGCACTAAATCAATTGGATAGTATAAAATAACATTTATAAATGAAAAGGTTCTGGAACATTGTGAAACAATTTATGACAATTGACTGTTAGATGAGATAATTGATAACTTAACAAAAGTTTTTAAACTTTGAATCCCTTATCACAGAAAATAATATACTTTTATTACGTTATTTTTTTTAATTAAAAGTAATTTTTATATCAATTTAGTACACTATTGAGTCATAAAATATAGTATTACAAAATAACAACAAATGTGATTAATATTAATAATAAGTGAAATATTTGAAATGATTTGAGTGTTTGACTAATTCGTGAAGATATCTCCAAATGCCTTTGACTTTACACAAGTATTTTAAATAATATTATTTTACTCGCAATTCATTGACAAAAATATTGACTAATGATATCAAAAACACTTTCGATGAATAAATATTTGTATTAAAATAGTTATTAATAATGAAAACCTATTATGATTCGGATTATTTGTACAGATTTTAACAACATTTTCAATAATATTATTGTTGACTAAAAACTTATATCAAGGGTTTTGTGAAGTTGTGAAGTGTTAGTAAAATGTAAAGAATTCTGTAAAATTACTTTTGATAAAAATTCCGTTTATTTATAGAGACATTTATGATTATGTAATATAAATAGCAATTATTCAATTTTGTGTGATTTAATTGTAAATAAAGATTTGTTTAAAAAGACTTTTCTATCGGTAAATACAAAGAAAGTGAATTCAAAAATAATAGTCTATTCTATATATTACATAAAATTATAAACCAACTGTCAATCTCACGATGATTGCACTTTTAGCGGCAAAAATTTATATCTCAAATATTTTCACTGAATAAATCTTTTAATTTAATTTAATCGGTGTCTGGAATGCGTGGCAATCAAACAATGCATTTGCGATAATCACTAATTATAGTTTGATTATAGCTGTAGTTATTTGTTAATTATTTTTAAACGCCGATTATATGACTTAGCGGTGAATGTATTTTAAATATAAAACTCATATCAATCGAGAGCTTACGTTATTAAAAGAAATCTTCTTTTTAGTGATCTAATGATTACTTTATTGGAAGTAATTTAATAAATATTTTAACTATTTTGTCATATGATTAGTGCAGTATTAGTACAGTAACGATGTTTCCAATGATTGCCAAACAGACAAAATCATATGAATTTCGCGAAAAACACATTCATTAGCACAAGACATCCATTGCATAAGACATCACTTGCTCTGCGAGTGTGAAATATTGCACTTAATTGCGAGCATTCTTTACAAAATATATGTACTTGTCAAACATTTGTTGAAATTTAGTCCAAGTTGTTTGTATCAGATTAGATGAACAAATATTTGACTATTTTATAGATTTATTATCGATAAATGATACAATAAAAAATAGACTATCAAATGAAAAAAAAACAATTCTTTTGCAATAACTTTTCATTGTATTACAAATATCTGGTGTATTGGCATCAGAGGTAGAAATCTTAACTAAATGTTTTAACTAAACAATATATATCCATGACATTAGTTCCAGTAATTCCTGTCTTCACAAACCACTCGTTGTAATAAGTTTTGAAAAAGTGGTGCGAATTATGATTTCTTAGGTCAATGTCTGATTGTTTTAGTATTTGTTGGTTGGGATCGCAATCCTTAGTCATATTCTCGACTATAACTCCGGCCGCGTCTGTGGGCCCGTCCTGACCATCACTTCCCGCGCATAGAAAATAAAACTTGCCATCAGTTTGCATGTCATACACGGCTCTGTAAAACGCGAGCCCCATCTCTTGACACCGACCTCCCAGTCCTTTCCATTCATATTAAAGCATTCAAAACTATTAATATACTTACAATTAATCACAATTAGACAAAATTACCGGTTTTAGAATCAGTCATATTAACGGTGGTCTCTCCACCGCCTATCCAACAGATTCCTCTGAAGTTCTTCACGTCTTCCTCGGAGTACTTGTAATTCAATGCAATTCTGAGCCATTCATTAGCGACATCTCTGGCCTCCCCTTTGATAGTATTGCCCAAAAAGACTACTTTATATCCTAATTCTTTGGCCGTATTCTGTGCCACATTCAGAGCTATGCTATTGTTTCCAATTATTATATTATGCAATAAATTGTCACAATTTCTATCATAAGAATCAGATTCTTTGTCCTCCAATAAAATAATAGATTTTAAATTGTCTTTCACTTCAATATTGAAATAATTGAGAATTTTGAGCGCTTTATCCGACGGTTTCTCTGAATCGGTTCTGTGGACAACAGTGGGTCCACTGGCTATGAGTTCAATGGGATCTTCGATGATATCACTGATGATAAATGAGATCATTTCCACAGAATCGGGTCCATTAATAGCCATTTGAGCCAACTTTCCGCCCTTCACTTGACTCAGACATCTTCGCACGAAATTTAATTCATTGATATTTGCACCTGATTTCACTAATTGTGATATTAGACTACATTTCTCATCGAGGGTTAGGCCCGGTTTGGGCAGTGATAGCAGCGCTGACCCACCGCCTGATATGAATGATATAATTAATGGATTAGTGCCCGAAGTCTTACTATTCTTTTGACAACTTTTGGCACTTTTGACTAAATCGACAATTTCTATGGTATTCTTCTGCGAGTCCATGTCTGGCATATTATTGAGAGCACCCGTCCTGTAGTGGACATTATATTTAGCAAATAGAGAGCTTCTGGTGGTTTGGGAACCGATTGGCACACTTAGCGCACCGGCATTTATGGTCAACTTTTGGCTATTATTAGTTAATTCATTATTATATGAATCCAATTGATTGAGAAATTCTTCACACATTTTGAGTACAGCTTTGCCTAAAGAAGAGATGTTTTAAAATCAATTATAATTAATAACAAGTTTCAAAAGTAGTGGTCAATTGTTAGTACATACCGGCGCCCAATATAAACACATCTCTATTGAGAGAAAACTTTTTCTCCACATTTTGCGAAGTTTTCACCAAAAGTTGGTTTTCATTGATTTGAATAAAGCTTTTAATTAGTGAATCGGGTTTCACGGCATTTACCGACGACTCAAATATCAATTTCAGATCTTTTCTCACCGGCGAAGACATCGCTAACCGATTCATCACTTCTTAAGCGGCAAATGAATCACTCAATCATATCACTCAATAGTGAACCCATAAATGGTTGCCATAATTGACTGAATATGGTCTGTAAATAGTATGATAACTGAATTAAATGGTCGAAAATGAGAGATAATTGAGTGTTTATTTTGATTGTTATCAACAGAAACGACAACCGCTTTGATTGGATGTATTGGACATCACCTTCAAGTGAAGCGCTTCTTATAAATGTCAGGTATTTCTCAAATGGCTTTTCACACGAATTTGATTCTTGTTTTACTAACGCTTTCATAAATGACTGCATAAATGCTTATATAATATGAATAATCATGAAATACTGAAGTTTGATTTTCATTTTCAAATAAAACCCAAAAATTATTTAAAAAGTATTTTGTTGTATGCTTTCTAATCAAATGCAAAGTTATTGACCCTTCAGTTGGAAGTGTTATAAGAGGCCACCAAAACTACCGGTAATTATACTACTCGTCAGTTAAGTTACAAATGCAGACAATTTGGCGAATATATTATTTGCAGACTTTATTATAGACTGTTTTAATCGTAACTTCTGATGCAATCAATTTTGCGGTGAAGAGGTGTTCAACAAAACTGATGTGAGAGGGGATCACATGAACATACAGTACATGTGCCCAGAGTGTGAACCTCAGAGGCCTATGGAATGCATGGTTATACTTGAGGGCATCGGACATCCGACTATCATTTAGGGGCTAAATAAGGATCCGGGTTACTTGGATTCCCTATTATTTATTACTCCTATTTTCGCGAAATTCATGAAATTTTTTTGGTTATAATATCATTAAAACTCATATAATAGTAAGACATTGTCTAATCATAGGAATTATATCGAGATTTTAAGTCAAACGATTTGAATCAAATGAATTTTATGGTCGAATAGACACTGATTTGCATACAGTGTTTGAATGCAAGAAATTTGCATTAAATGGTAATCATATTAATAGCCAAAAGAGCGAAAGTCTATATAATTAAGATACGCAACGGTCGGCTGACCTCAAGGGTATAGATATTTAGAAATATGAAAGTTATAGAAAACATGGCTTTAATACAATGTATATAAAAATATATATGAAAAGGTTTTCGTTTTGATGGTAAGCCAATTAACCTTCAAATAAAATAAATAAATAACTTTTCAAAAACATTTCATTGATTATTGTAATAGTAAATGACAACAAAATTAGTGAATTAAAAAACAAAACATCACTCAATGCCACACATATTCTCCGATATATAACTCATCGGAAGTCATGAGATGTTAAATACTTTATTCACCAGAATTTGTGTCAAAAACACAACTTTTATTTTAGTTTACGAGAAAAATATCAGTTGTTGATTAGATTATCTAAAACTTTACCTAAAAAATACCTGTGTTGATGTATCCCTCACTTGATAAATATATAGTCATCAATATATTATGTTTAAATGTTTTCAATTGAATTTTTAGATAAGACATGAATTTTTACTCCAAAAGAATTCACAGTACTTTCAAACCCATAAGAAAGTAGTGATTAATAGATTTGTTGCTCACTTTAATTCGCCAAACGAATGCATTTTTATTTCCAAAAGTATTGAAATGATACTTTTCGTTATTCAAGTAAACAATTCTCTATAATTAATAATGAAAAATATTTAAAAAGTTAATCATTATTTGAAGAAACTTTTTTCAAAAAATAACATTAATCTCAATGGCATTGAAATCGAGATTTTTCGCCTCGAGTTCTGATTTAAATTTTATAAACATTTAATCGAAAAATAAGCAAATATTGAGAAAAATTGTGATTTAGGATGAAAGCCAAGAAAATAAAGTGTTTTACAACAAAACTTTCGATAAAAACTCTTATAATTTGATGATTACTTTCATTTAAGGAGAAGGACATGGGTACTGAAACAGTAAAACATATTAATTATTCGCTAAACATTTGCTAATTAGCCACATACATTTATTAATAAACATATATTTCATAACAAATGTCGAGTTGTGGACTTAAATCCGATTGGATTCAAGCAATCGGAGTATCTATGGGTTCAATATTCTGTAAATTGGTGGAAGTGGTCGGCCTTGTGCTACTTTGCCAAACCAAATGCCATACTATGCCATACTATGCCATACGTAATGCTAACTTTCCAATTACTTTCGCTAACACTGAATACCATACCATGTCTTACGTACACAACACATGCCTTATTGAAGCCCAGGTATTATAGCACAGGTATTATAGCACTTAATGAGAATCTTCTGCCAAACTCTTAGAAATGTGAGATAAAAGAGAAGACATTTCTCAATATTTATACACAAATGTGTTTTGTGTATAGCTTTGAGCCAAACCTCACTTTAGTTTCCAATGATTGCCAAACAGACAAAATCATATGAATTTCGCGAAAAACACATTCATTAGCACAAGACATCCATTGCATAAGACATCACTTGCTCTGCGAGTGTGAAATATTGCACTTAATTGCGAACATTCTTTACAAAATATATGTACTTGTACAAACATGTGTTGAAATTTAGTCCAAGTTGTTTGTATCAGATTAGATGAACAAATATTTGAGTATTTTATAGATTTATTATCGATAAATGATACAATAAAAAATAGACTATCAAATGAAAAAAAACAATTCTTTTGCAATAACTTTTCATTGTATTACAAATATCTGGTGTATTGGCATCAGAGGTAGAAATCTTAACTAAATGTTCTAACTAAACAATATATATCCATGACATTAGTTCCAGTAATTCCAGTCTTCACAAACCACTTGTTGTAATAAGTTTTGAAAAAGTGGTGCGAATTATGATTTCTTAGGTCAATGTCTGATTGTTTTAGTATTTGTTGGTTTGGATCGCAATCTTTAGTCATATTCTCGACTATAACTCCGGCCGCGTCTGTGGGCCCGTCCTGACCATCACTTCCCGCGCATAGGAAATAAAACTTGCCATCAGTTTGCATGTCATACACGGCTCTGTAAAACGCGAGCCCCATCTCTTGACACCGACCTCCCAGTCCTTTCCATTCATGTATTAAATCATTCAAAACTATTAATATACTTACAATTAATCACAATTAGACAAAATTACCGGTTTTAGAATCAGTCATATTAACGGTGGTCTCTCCACCGCCTATCCAACAGATTCCTCTGAAGTTCTTCACGTC